TCCTCATCCGCCATGTTCTTCTTCAGCGTGCTCATGCAGCCCAACCCCCACACCTTGGATTCCCTCCCCACACACACACATCTGCTCCCCCACCCCCGGATCTCACACCTACAGCTCCTCTGCTCTGTGGTTTCCGCCACTCTTCTGCCTGCCCCTCCCCATATAACCCCCCAGGATGCCTGGGCAGGCACTGAGCAGCTACTGCCATGGGGCCTGAAGTCCTGAGTCCCTGCCTCCTGCTGCTGTGGGCCTGGGCCTGGACCCTCCCAGCTGGCTCTGTCCTGCCCCCTGAACTCGGCAAGGTAAGGGATGGAGGATGCACCTGGAGGGAGCAGTTTTGGGCAGAGTGGGCCTGAAAGCCAGAGAAGGACAGAGAAGACACCGAGTGTCTGTGCCAAGAGCCGCTGGCTACTGTGCTGAGACCCAGCATTTGGTGCATGTGTGGAGAATCCAGGGATGGGGATTGGAACCAGCACCAGAGAGAGGGGAAGGTCCTGTAGCCATTCCCCACCACTGTAGGCCAGTCTGTGCCTCATGCTTCTTGCACACTCCCTTATGCTCCGTGTGCTCCCACACACACACACCCAAACTGCACAGACACCAACGCCCACCCACCCAGACGGGCATGTCCCCCCATCCACCCCAGACAGCAGTGGACTCCACCCTACACCCCAAAGCAGGGATAGCCGGGGGCTGGGGATTGAGGGCCATGAACAGATCTGGGAGGGGGTGCAGAGCCTAGGGTTGGGCTAACAGGGGGCTGTGGGTGCAGATTGGGGGGCACCAGAAGGGCTGTGGGTGGGGGAGTCCAGTGGTAGGATAGCAGGGGGCAGTGGGTGGGGATTGGGGGGCACTAGCAGGGCTGTGGGTAGCTGGGGGCTGGGAGTGGGAATTGAGGCAGGGGCACTGGCTGCTGGGACGCCCCTTCGCTCCCCACCATCCTGCCGGTTTGTCCATTTCAGGCTGAAGTGACTCGAATGTTCAAGGATTTTATGATTCAGTTCAACAGAACCTACAGGAGCCCCGCAGGTGAGGGACAGGACGGGAGTGGGGGGCTGTTGGTGTGTGGGGGCAGGCGGCTCTTCCTGGGGGCTGTTACCAAGGGGAGAACGTGGGGGGCAGCAGGGGGACGGATGG